TTTTCCATTGACGCCACGTTTCTCGAATCGTTTGCCATCACTATTCATAAAAAAAAAAAAAAGAGTCTGATACTTGATCGATAATAAATTTTAATCGAACATATATAGGCCACTTGTACAATTTTTCGACACTTTTTCAGCCGTCGATAAATAGTGTACTTCATCGGAGGCAATTTTATTTTCATTCTCCATCACTGACTCTATAATCACGCAAATAATAGCTGAGGGACTTTGCGAGAAACGAATAAAAAAAAATTGGCGTGCAGATCTGATGGTCTCGAATTATTCGTCAACATCAGACCAGAATATTTTTCGTCTCATGTTTTTGTGCCTCGTGCTCCGATATCTCAACCGACTGAGAGAGAGAATATAAACAACGGTCCAGTGATGGTGCGACACAGCATGGCGCGAGAAAAAAAGCACTAGATAATGTTTGACCAGGTGTACGATCAGCGTATATAAGAATTCCTATACTGTCGTAACATCGGCTATCAAAGCGAATCACTTCACTCTCGTAAGAATTTCGAAATAATAGATTCGCGGCACGCACATGAGCAAGGGCGTGTAATTTCCCGTGATTTACCATATTATATAATTATGAGGTAAAAATTCCTCATAAAGTACATCTTTTAAGAATTTATTCAAAAACGATCAACATTAATATTAAATTTTTATATCTCATTTTTTCAACAATCGCATAATTTTTAATGTGAGAATTGAATGGATTTTTAAATCAAAATTTATTAACAATTGCTTTATATTTTCTCCAAAATTAAGAAATTTTCTAATAATGAAACAAACAATTGACTAAAAAATAATTCGACGAATATAATATGATCAAAAACCATCTTGAAATCAAAATAAATATCCTATCTCATCAAACACACGTTACGATAAAATGAGTAAACAAATTCTTGCAATTGGAAATAAAGTGTAAACAATCATGATCAAATCGCATCGTGGTGTTGTTGTTTAAAATTTAGACATGTACGAAGCAAAGAATACGTGTGAGAACGCGAAGCATCAATAAATGACATACACGATATTTCTATAAAGAAATTCCATAAGCGGAAGCATTTCGAAGAAACGCTTGACGGATAGACGGGAGAATCGGCAAAGCGTGTTCGAATACTCGCTGGAACGCGCGTTCGATGAATTCGTACAAAATACCATTTTAAAACAGAACTTGCTAGGCGATAACACGACATAACGGAAAAGACGATCGAACGATTGTCGAAGAAATGACAGAAGGGAGAAAGAAGGCTATGAAAGTAATCGTACTCACCTCGGTAGCGGCGTTGCATCCCGCGAGAATGACGGCCGTACTGATCAGAATCCAGTATATCCTCGGTTGCATCTTTCCTTTGTATTTGCCGGTGGGCCCGTTCACGAGCCCTCTGAATAATCACGGCGTCGACTCAAGAAAACCAAACGAAAAAAATACGCGTATGTCCTAGGCAGGAACAAACCACCAAAAAATCCACCGGAGCAACAACGCGACACACACCACACTGATCGATGAACCGCGAGACACTGAGGGCGCGTCGATCGGTCACTTCCATCGCCGAACTTCCACCATCTTGAATGATTATGAGCGCCACGTAGTGATCATCGCGAACATTAGTCTTAAGCAATCTTTCGATACTGCGTGAATAATTTAAACTCGTTAAAATGTTTTTTTATAAAAGTGATTATATTTTTTAACAAAAAATTAATAAATTATGTATACAATAAGAAAATTATTTATTAAATATTATGATACGTAAGTAGTTCAAAATCAAAATTAAAATAAAATTAACTAACAAAAAAATAAAAATACTTTCTTGATAATTTTTTTACCAAAATCATTTTATTTTTTAAAAAATAAAATAACAGAATAAATTATTAACATTATATATAAAACAATTTAAAAATTACTTCATTTTGTTTTTTTAGAAAATTGAAAAAAGATTCAAAAAAAAATAATGAAGTTGAAAAAACAATGGCGGGAAATGGCATGACATCATGGTGAGTTTCATATAATAAAAAATGTATTCTTAACTTATGTTTAATAAAAATCTAAGTTAATTCTTAACTTAGATTTCAAAAATCACAAAAATTTACGTAGGTTTTTCATTTTAAAATAAAAATTGGAAGAAAAACTATCATATTTACGATTCACTTTTTAATTATAAAACTTTGAATTACATTGACTATACTGCTCGAATATAGATTTCTAATTTTAATATACAATATATTATTATATTCAATATATATATGTATATATATATATTATTAGCAATTATTAAAATATGTTTCAAACTATCAAAAAAAAAAAACAATTATAAAAAGAAATATTTTTTTTATTTTTTATCACTAGCCGAAATATCTTTTTCGAGACCTTTTAAAAATCGAAGATTTTCATTAATAGTACGGTTATATTCATCAATTTTATTTTGCATCGACGTAACTTCATCTTGCATACATTTCACTTCTTCTTGCATTTTTTGTTTTAACATTTCTAATAATTCTTTATCCTGGGAAATAAATGATCAAATGTCTTTATTATTTATTTTGTTTTATTCAAAATTTTATTCATTATATTATTTATTCAAAATTACCTGTTTGTAATAATATTCAGCTTCAAATGCAATATCATCATTTGAAGTTTTATTTTTATTAGAATCACTGTATTTTCTTGTAAAATATCTGGAACTATTCAAACCGAACAAATTATCGGATTTTTTAAAAAATGACATAACCATAAAAAAAATTTTTTAAATTTAACTACAAATTGCAAATTAAATTTTTAAATTTTATTATACTTACTTAATCTTGATTACTTCGGACGAAAATTTTCGTATACAATGTCGAAACATTGTTTTTTATAATTTTTAATATCATTAATTTTACGAAAAAGAAATCGCTCAAGAAATTGAACGGAACAGAAATTTTGCGATTTTCTGTCATGGACAGTGAAACATTTGAATATAAATATAATCGAAAATATTGAAATAATCGATTTGTATTGAAATTTTTTCATTTGAAATGTATATATAAGCTTTGTTATTTTATAAATACAGAAAATAAATTGTCTATTTTATATTCAATATATATATAATATATATAATATTTTTCGATTTAAAAAAAGTACAGACATAAACGTCTACTAATTATTATTAATAGTAATATAATAATTACAAGAGCATTACATTACAAAGAATAACAATTCGCTTAAAGAGTAAATACATGGATAATTTTATTTCTTATCCATATCTGTGATTCTTTTTTTATGGCGGTTTATGGCTTCTTGATGACGTTTAATTTGTTCTTCATGGAAAGAGATTTCATCGTGAAGATCCTCTTTAAGTTTTTGTAGCTGTTGCTTTTGCTAAAATCAAAAAAATTAAAAAAAGATTTCTAAATAAATAATTTCAATGATTACATCATATATTTATGTTTGTAATATAAAAAAACAATAAATAATAAATAAAATATTAAAAATTTAATTAATACCAAAAGAAAATGTAATAACTAACCAGATTATAGAAATACTGATCTTCATGAGCAGCTTCCATTTTTCCAAAAGATCCTCCAGCTTCACGGATAGAGCCACCACCACCACCTCCTTTACCTGCTCCAGATCCACGTTCTCCAATCATTCTTACTTGGCTAAGATGATCAAATGATCAAACTTTAATTAGTCTCTTTCAATATTAATAGTGTCAAAAAAAAAGCTTTGACGCAGTAGTAGCAGTTAAAAATATACTAAGTATATTTATATCGTCAATACAATAAATACTTAAATATAAAACATTTATATTCACATAGTAAAAAATATTTCAACTGTAAATTATAAATATTATAATTACATAAAAAATTAGATAATTAAAAATATATATGAAAACCATATACATAACCATCTTTTCATAATGATAAAATCAATAACTATTACATAAGTACATATCATGAAATTGAAGAAAATCTTACAAACTTATTAGAATTCATAAGAATATATTTTAATTTAAAATGTAATTTATTATAAGAATTATCTCATAAAACAATAAATGATACAAAATATATATTACTTTTTATTATGCAAAAACTGTGCAAAAGCCGGAATCAATTTAAACTACGCAAAAAAAGAAATTTATATAAAAATATATATAATCTATTTATTAAACATCCTTATAAAATTTATTTTTTTGTACCTCAATAAAGCCATATTTCGAGAAATTGTAGTAATAACTCGTTGCATTCTAGATAGAAGAATTATAAAATATAATACTTCCGTTAGAAACCATACACTACTATAAGAAAGAGAACATTACGATGTATTATTCCATTACTAGGATGTCCGCGAGATGGCTGTTCTGATACACATTTGGCGGCAATATTAATTCAATTTTTTTACATATAAAATTTTTATCATATTTACCATAACTTTAAATATAAAAATTAATAAAAAAGAAATTTTTAAAAATATAATGTTTTCAAGAATACAAATGATTACCAATAAATTTAAAGAATTTAAAGAAATATGATCAAAAGAAAAAAAATTTTTTATTTAATACTAGAGAAAAAAATTTTTTAATATAATTCGTAATTCATTATTTATTTATTTATTTTTCTAATAAAACATCATATCCTTAAAATTAAAAAATTAATGTTAATATAAATAATGTATATATTTATTTTTCACAAAAAAGTAAAAATTTTATTCTGAAAAATTATTTTAAGTAATATACAATTAATATTATTTTTATCTATGTAAATAATCTTAAAAGAGATATCTTAAAACAGATATGAATAATATTAAATAAATAAAAATTTAAATAAAATTTTGTTCCATTTCTTTGAAATATTTTTCTATTAGAAATAATTAATAATTATTTTAATATTTTTATTTATTCTATAATAAAACAATTATAAAATATTACCTATAATATTCAGCAGCTTGATTCTCCACAAGCTGTCTCTTGATTTCGGAAGTTTTCAACTCGTTGATCGCAGTCTGTTTCTGCAATTCTACCTTTTCTAAAGCAATATTTAACATTCTTAGCTTTAACTCATGTTCTCTCTGAGCCATTTCGAACATCCACATTCTTCCTTGAATAGATTCATCTTGTTCATTATTAAACCTACTGTTTCTTTCCTTCATGTAAGACGTAGATACACCATCTTCTACTAAAAAAAATAGATAAAAATTAAACAAAATTATTTCAATTCCTTTAAAATCATAAAATATTTAACATATGTTTTATTTATATATTTTGTTTATTTAAAATTTTAATTTATTATTTTCTTCACTATATGAAATAATATTTAAAAAAAAAGCTATTCTCTATTACGATTTTCTTTTTTTAAATTTTAAAACAATGTTCATGTTTGTCTAAAGTAACTAATGGAAACGGGGTAAAAGGTGACTTTATGTATAAAAATAAATCGAAAAGAATAATATTTTGAAGTTTCGTTTTCAAGAAAATCGAGAATTAAAAACTTATTCATGAATTTTTTTTTTAATTCTAACGATAAATAAATCAATTATCATTAGATTATATCAATTATCATCAGATTAATTTACATGTAAAGATAAATGAAAAATATAAAATAAAATTTTACATTTCTTTAAAGTTAATTTTTGAAAAAATTTATTCTATATTGTCTATTCATTTTCACATATAAAATAATCTTTTAACAATAATACAGTAATATAATAATATTAATATAAACAGTATCCAATCGAAAATCAATTAAATTTTCGATTAGTTTTTAAATTCAAATTTTTCAAAAACTTCAAATGAAAAAAATTTTTTTTTCGATTTATATTT